CAAACACAAGCATATGGTTGCTGTCTTTAAACCACGAAATCAATTGACCCACTGAAATTTGTTACAAATGAGTGCCGAGAAAAAATTTGAAAGAAAAACTTGAAATTTTTTCTAAGTTTTTTGTTTGTTTGCGAGTTATCATTTGGGCAACCATTGCCTCGCAAAAAGCAAGTTACCAGCGTTGGTGTTCCAACTGCGCATCTAAATACCAAGTAATTTTTTTGGAAGCACCTTAATATTGTACGCATTGCCTTGTTTTTATATAAAACAGAAAAAAGGTCGCCTTTAAATGCGTTTTGGCGTTCCTCATTCGTTGGGGAATCTGGCTCAGGGTTTCATAAGATTAAAACTCAAACTATTTTCGAGTGGCTGTAAACATTCCTCAAATAGTTATTGTTCCGACTTTCGATACGAAAGTAACGGAATATTTGTGCTCGGGGTGAGTTTTTTTTTCTTCAGACGAATCTCGACTTTTTAACTAGCCATTTTTGACGGAATTTTTTTTATCATTCGAAAGCCATTGTTGTCCTGAGCTCAAATTTGAAAAGATATTTCACCTGTGATCATTTTTCGTAAAGTTATGAGGGTCTAAAGATTGCCATTTCGGCCATTTTGACCAATTTGGGACAATTAACGCGCGATATAATTCGCGCTATTAATGTGTAAGCGGAGATTTAATCCGTCTTATAAATCGTTCCAAATTGGTTTAACGAAGCTTATTTGCCATAATTGATTTGTTACAAGGAACGAAATCTTTCTTTTTGTACTTTATATGGCGTGTGGGGGGATGATTTTCATAAAAATTTTCAAATTTTAGAAAAAAAAATTTTTGATTTTTTGTTTTATTTAATTTTTTATGTTCTTACTGCTGCTACATAAACCGTAAAAGGCAGTCGGAACATTCAGGGCTTCGCCCTGATACGAGCAGTCTTGTCTATTTTGCATCTGGTACATCAATTTTTTTAAGAGCGAATTGTTTGCTTCCCTTTATTTGGTAAAGAAAGATTTAACTTTCCGCTCACAATGTAATAACGACAGGGTGGAGTCCTTTTGGTTGAACGACTAGTTAGTGAAAATGAAGCAGAATTGAATATCTAAAAGTGGAGATTATCATTTGAAAAAAAACTTAATTTAAAGCAGTAAAAGACTGCTCGTTTACCAAGGCAAAGCCCTGAATATTTCTACTGCCCCTTAACCCATAAATCTATAAATTTCGGACAATATCAAAGATCATGTGTGAAACATTGATCGTACGAAATTAATGCGCCCATATAACTAGCGTCATTTCAATCTGGAACGATTTTGTTGAGCCGGATAATTCGCCGCGCAAAAATAATTCGCGTTACGCTCTCAGCTTTATGAATAAACTCTTCAAAGCGCACAGAATTTAGTCCAGATCATGTCCGAATTGCTTCTTTTTAAACTCCCAGAACTTCACAAAAGTAATTGGAATTTAAGTGTTTTGTTTCTGCATGTGAACTCAAAAAATCCATATCTTCCTTCGGCCTTGACTTTTTGTTAAAAACTTGCATTTCGATCACCAAAAACTTATTAAGAAACCATACCAACCATAAATATTCCGTTTTATTCGAAAATGGGAACAAAAATCAATGTTGAAGAAACAAAAATCAACAGACAAAAATGCAATTGAGTTGTTAGGTACACTTAGCAATTGGAAAAGAAACTTTTGCACTCAAGTTTGTTTTCGGTTTTCTGCATAAAGTTTTCTACAATGATAAAAATTTTTTTATCATTCTGTCCCTCCATCATAGCCCCCTTCCCGCCGCGGCAAAAAATATGAATTGTAAAAAATCAAAAATTGGGCAAAGTTGTCTTAAAAATAAACACCTAAAGATTACAACAAAAGGTCGCAGATGGAGTTTTTTGAGATTGTATAAACAAATTCTGACAAAAATTGCTCGTGAAAAGTCGTCATTTTTCCGGTAAAAAAAACCGTTTCCAGCACAAACACTGCGTCGATTTCTCCGAAAGTCAGAAAACTAAAATTAGTACATCTTTAAGTAAAAATTAAAATTCGAGAATTTGATTCAAAAATGATCTCAGATTCGATTGAACATCTTCAAATACAGAGCTCAAAAACTTTATCAGGGGCTTGGGCATCAAATCAAGAAAATAAAACCTCACACACATATTAATTGCTGCCCATGATGCAATATACGTAATTGTTCAGCTGTGGCCTTTATTTTAACAAAAAGTAGGAGGGCTATTGTCATGGGTGAAGGACCGAATCGTCGACAGACTCATGGGCGAGCCGGAAACAAAAACAGTGGAAAACCAACTATTAAAAGGAAAAAATTGCCGTTTCACCATAAAGCAATTAAATGAAGCATTATTTTGCTTCTTCTATAACAAACTCCTTGAAATGATTGAAATATGAAATTTGTCCCAATTCACCGGCGGTTAGTGACAATTTGAAGTGTTTTCAAATTTCTACCAAATTATTAAATTCGGCCAATCTCAATCTTAAGCCCTGGAAATAATCACCTTCTTCGAGATTTTCACGCTTTTACGAGATTTTCAAATCTTGTAATACTGAAATGTGACGACTATTTTCAATGTTGCCCGTTCGACATTTCGTCTACGAGGTATTCCTCCAAAAAACAACATAAACGAAATTGAAGAACAGTATTTGTTGTTTACAAAACCAAACTCAACATGACATTGTAACCAAAGGCAGATCGTGAAAGAAGGTTAATATTTAAAAGCAATATTTTACACTTTTTCTCTATAGCAAAAAAAGGAGTTCGTTACAAGAATATGCTTTGAGTTTTTTTGGTACATAACTAGAATCTCCTGATGTAACGATGTCATTGCTCTTCAAAAAGTTCCGTAATCATGGTCTCAGTCGAAAATGTTGAAAGGGATACGCAATTCATCTCAAAAGAAAACCCATCCAAGCATCTTTTTTCCGACTTTCGATCATTAAAGATTGTCAATTCAGCCAATTTGGAATAATTAGCCTGCAATAAATTCCGTGCTATTAACGCGTAAGCAGATATTTAATCCGTCTTAGATATCGTTCCATATTGAATTGAGGCATGCTGCTTGCTCTATACATTAATTTGCCTCATGCAAACTGTTACACTTTGTATTTGTGCAGATGTGACGGTATATTTTAAGAGACGGGCAAAACATTAAAAGAAATCGAAACTTTTCAAGTTTATTATGATTTTATATTCGAAGTCTTTTTCACAGAATTAGAAAAGCAGTAAAAAAAAGCAGCGGTCTCCCTCGTAATTGGGCAATGATTTAAATTGCTATAATAAATTTCAATTTAAAATAGTGGAATGGAGTTAAAAACGCCCACCAAATTTTCAAAATTGCATTGGAACTGTCAAAAGAGCGTTGTAAACCAATTCAAAGGAAAACAAGACTGCTCGTAACAGGGCGAAGCCCTGGATGTTCCGACTGCCTTTTAAGGTTTATGGAGCAGTAATAACATTAAAAATTTCAATGAAAAAAAAATGAAATTTTTTTTTCTAAAATATGATTTTTTTTTTTGTGAAAATCATCCCCCCACACGCCATATAAAGTACAAAAGGATAGATTTCGCTCCTTGTAACAAACCAATTATGGCAAATAAGCTTCTTTCAACCAATTTGGAACGATTTTAAGACGGATTATTTCTCCGCTTACGCGTTAATAGCGCGAAATATCGCGCGTTAATTGTCCCAAATTGGCCAAAATTGCAATCTTTAAACCCCCGTAACTTTACGAAAAGTGATTACAGGTGAAATATCTTTTCAAATTTGAGCTCAGGACAACAATACCTTTCGAATGGTATTAAAAAATTCCGTCAAAAAAGGCTAGTTAAAAAGTCGAAGTTTGTCTGAAGAAAAAAAAACCCACCCCGAGCACAAATATTCCGTTACTTTCGTATCGAAAGTCGGAACAATAATACAAGAAACGCCGACAAAAACGCCAAGACGAAACTTCTGAAAATTATTTAAGGAATTAGTTTTAGTTTTGAGGTCAGAAGTATCCCAAAAAGTTAGGACGTTGACCAATAATGTTGTTCAAATCCAAGTAGGCGGCAGTCTTTTTAGGTCAGCGAATCTGACAGTTAATTATCCAAAAAATGCTTATTTTGACATTTCAAACCAATTTTAACTCATTTGAGCGCTCAAAACCATATCGAAAGTCTAACAAGACTGCTCGTATCAGGGCGAAGCCCTGAAAGTTCCGACTGCCTTTTAAGGTCTATGGAGAATTAATAAGATGAAAAATTTCAAAGTAATAAAAAAAAATTTAAAAAAATTTTGAAAACATCCCCCCACACGTCATATTAAGTACAAATTGATAGATTTTGCGCCTATTAACAAATCAATTATGGCATATAAGCTTCCTTGAACCAATTTGGAACGGTTTCTAAGACGGATTAAATCTCGCTTACGCGTTAATAGCGCGAAATTTATCGCGCGTTAATTGTCCCAAATTGGCCAAAATGGCAATCTTTAAACCCCCATAACTTTACGAAAAATGATCACAGGTGAAATATCTTTTCAAAGTTGAGCTCAAGACAACAATAGCTTTCGAATGATATAAAAAATTCCGTCAAAAATGGCTAGTTAAAAAGTCGAAATTTGTCTGAAGAAAAAAAACCCCACCCCGAGCACAAATATTCCGTTACTTTCGTATCAAAAGTCGGAACAATTAACCTGAAGATATTGTTTTCTGACCAAGTAAATTGCTCAAGCTTCCCAATATTTCTCCGATTTCAAAACTTTGCAGTTTAGTTGACCTATTTTACCTAATAGTAAGCCCCCACTTGATTCAAGAACAGCAAACAATAGTATTTACTCGTTTACATAGCTTGAAATAAACGGTAGGAGATTATCAGGCCTTGCTGCCTGTTTCTAATCCTCCTAAAAAGAGCATCAACTTTCAATTATTAAAACTCAATACTAGGAAAAAAACGCTGAAGAGAGATTTGTTCAAACATTGTAAACAGCTGTTGTGGAAGAGAAAAATAAGCTAGCCTGAGGGGGTATACGATGGCGATGAACCTCTCAGTTGCGTTGAGGACCATAAAGAGGGGGGTGCCCACTTGGTAGATGTTGAAGAGCATGGCGAATGCCTGGCACCCCACCCTACCAAACAACACCTGCTCGAACTGCAGCTGGAACACTAGCGGTGTGATCACTGAAACATCAAAGAAGCATCGCATTTAAATATTTTCGTCTCAATTTAATCTCAAGCTGAGCCTCCCCCTTAAATAGACTAAATTAAATTCAGCCAACCTAAACCAATGGGGGCGGGGGGGGGGGTGAAAGATGTTATTTAAATCTTTCTTAGTTTTCTCTCAAGTCGAACTTTATTGAAAGCGTACCATATAATTGAAAGCGTACCATAAGCGTACCATTCGTGGTCAAAAATGTTGGCATTATGATCGATTATAATTACACTTTGGGACCACGCAATCGATTATAATTTATTATCATCCTTTAATTTTAGAGAATATAAAATCAATTATAATCCGTTTAAAATCCATTATAATGGATTATAATATCTATGAAATGATCGGTAAAAATTTCAGCTTTATTATCGATTTTTTTAGTATTTCATGGAGACAGACAGTCGCCTTGTCGTCAATATGTACTAACTTAACTAGCGGCGCAGAAAAATTCAGTCAAAATGGGGTAACTTTATACTGTTTTGTGAGAGCTCAGAAAATCAATTTTGTCGGACCTAAAAACAAAAAGTCCAAAATTTAAAACTTATTTTCAAAACCGCTACCCTACCCCCCCCCCCATTAGAAAAAAAAACAGCTAAGTGAGCCACATTTGTAGACACAAGGAGTTGGATTTACTCAATTGTCAGCACAGCGGAGCTGATTGTTTCCCTGCTTATTATGGGTTTGAAAAAAAAACGACTTTTTCGAGGGATTGGTAGAAAACAGGTAGCACAGTGATTGGGGACGAAGGGGCCAAATTGTTGGTCTCCAATTGGCCATGGAAAAGGATGAGAAGCCACATCTTCTAACAATTGGGCTTCTACTTGGGATCCACGTAGTTCAATTTTTCGGGAAACCTCTGGGACCAATCGCACTTAAAATGAGCGCATTGAGGCCCCCCCTAGAAAAAAAATGAAAATCATAGATCCGTCATTGATTGTTGGATTTTTATTACAAATTTGTGGTTCGCAACTATTGTTCTGCATCATGTACGCCAGTCAAACCAAGAAACATTCTGAAATTAAAAATCAAGAAGTTCATACCTTAGTGCATTTTTGAACCAACCCTTGTTTTGGATATAATTTATGCTAAATGACTGTTTTTCTCTCATGCTTTTTTTAAAGGATGAATCGCCTTAAGTTAAAATTGCTTGTAAAGTGCATAAAATTATAAGTATTCGGGTTTTTACCAATCTCAAATCGAAATTAATTAAAGTAGGGGCAATTAAAGTAGGTCTACAATATAAGCAAGGTTCGAATTAAAATGTTATTCTACAAGGGGACCAATTTTTTAGCAGCCAAAATTTTCGCAGAAAAAACATTAGAAATGAGTCTTTTGGCAGACCAATCTAATTTTACTGATACATAATTGTTCGACAGACGTAACAACGACTTAGTATGTTATTGTGCTAACCTGGTAAAACGATTAGCTCACATTTTGTCCACCTTTCTGAAAAGCGGAACAAAAAAATTAGCTGCAAACACTGACTCATTGACAAAAGAACCAACGTGCCGAGTTTAGGCGCAGTGTAGTAAGCGGTTGCTTCTTGACAATGCTGCGCTTGAAGTTAACATTGTGACTTGATACTTGTTTTGAGTCTGCAAAACAATCGGTTTTTTAAACAACCGGTCTGCTAAAAAGCCCAGCACCATTCTACATTTTCAGCAGTTCTCAAAAAATAAAACCAAGGGGGCCATTCAATAATTTTGGCAGCGGTTTAAAGTTTGATTCAGTAGGGAAGCTTCACAATTTCAGCAGTGCTCAAAAACTCAACAATAAAAATAATTTGTTTAATAAAGCATTGCAAAATGTTTCAACCCGGGTCCGAATTGGTCCTCATTTAATTTTTTTCCCTTGGAGGAAACTTAGCTGAATGAGCGTTTCTGAGAAATTGAGCTGAATGAGCCTGATTTCCGCAAAAAAGCTGTATCACCCTCAATTTTAGCGAAATCGGCCCAATTATACAATACAGCTTTGAATGTTGCTGAATGAGCTTAAGAATTAAAAAAAAAAGCACTGAGTGAGCCAAATTTTCAGACACAAGGAGTTGGATTTACTCAATTGTCAGCACAGGGGAACTGATTGTTGCCCTCCTCATTATGAGTTCGGAAAAAAAACGAGTGTTTCTGGGGATTGGTAGAAAAGAAGGTAGCACAGTGTGTTGGGATGAAGGGGCTAAATTGTTTGTCTCCAATTAGCGATGGAAAAGGATGAGAAGCCACATCTTCTAACAATTGGGCTTCTAGTTGGGCTCCACGTAGTTCAATTTTTTGTGAAACCTCTGGGACCAAAAGCACTTAAAATGAGCGCATTGAGGCCCTTCCTATAGAAAAATAAATAGAAGTAAAACTGAAAGTTGTGACTAGTATTTGTGGCTTATTATGTTTCTTCATTTTTTGAGCATAGATTATAGTCAACTTCTGTTTCGTCACAAACAATCATCGCAGTTTGAGTGAAGCAGGCTGAATCAGAAGTATTAGAAGACATATTTTTCAGTTGTTTTGCCCCAAATTTTTACGTAGGATTCACAAATATTTAAAACAAGCCAATAATATTTTTTGTGATCAAACGCTGTATAAAAACTGATAGTTATCTGGAGGAGAGTACTGCGCAGAGCAAAAAAGTTTGTAATTTTTTTCAACAGTTGTAACATTTTTTTTACCAGAGTTGAAATCCATTTTTTAGCATATTTTTTTTCAGTTTGTTTTCTTCTTTTTTCTTCTTCTGTTTTCTAATACTCTTAGAAAAGGGTGACAAAATTAGGTTAAAAACTCCAAAAATGAGAAACATGAATAGCATTGTGAAAAGTTTTGAAAAAAATAATGTCAACTTGTATCAGAAAAAAATTGAAGGGGTCAGCCTCTCAGGAAAAATTGACTACTTTGTTACGGAAACAGTAAAAATTCACACCGTGTTTTCTTAACACATTGACTTTTTTAAATTTTTTTGGGAATCGGAATCATGATCTATAAGGGTTACGTTTGACCTTTTTACGAGTATTCTTTGACGTAGTCAGTTTTGGCATTAAAAAATAAAAATTAGACTCACTCCATATTTCTCTTTTACTTTTTAAGAGTGTTCGACACAAAAATTTTTTTGATTTAATTCCAGAATATAGAAACTATAATTGATGAAACTATACACTATTAAAACTGAAACTATACACAATATGAAACTATGCAAACTGTACGAGCTTCATGACTACAAGTAATGACGTCAACTACAAATAAAGACCAAAAATATTATAAGTAAATACTCCAAATGCAGAAACGAATCAAGTCTTTTTTAGTAAAAACTTTTTTCTAAGCTAAAACAATAATTTCGAAAAAATGTTACAAGCAAAATAGTAAGTCTTTGTCTATAACTTGATCCCTTTAAGTTTACACAAAATACTAAACATATTAAATTATCATTTCTTGTTTTTATGTGGTAAGAGATGTTTAAAAATGTCAAAATTTCAACCACTAAAATTTTCAAAAAAAAAATACTTGAATTGATAAATTTTCTTTGGTAATTGAACACCTTTGCTCGGATAAGTGTTCAAAATCAGTGTATCTGCGAACTTTCTTAAACCCCTTTTTTGTGAACCTATGGGTTTTCTTTTTGGAATAAAATTTTGTATTTTGTGTCATTATACAAACATTTAAAAAAAAATCAATGTTTAAGATTTGGTGCCACTCAGTTTTTTCCATAAAAGTTTATTGGCATAAACTTCAACCGCGAAAAGCCCGAGAAAGACCTTGCTTCCCACGTCTTTATACCAGATAATTCGTGGTGAATCTGAATGTTTCGACTCATATTTCTGGTCAAATTATTGTCTACATAATTATGAGCATAGTTTTTGTTCAACTTGTAGTTCATCACTACAAAATATATCTAAATGAGAGTGATGATTCATGCGTGATCAGAAGTACTAGATATCAAAAGAGGTGCAAAATTGCACTAAACCTAATCCAATTTAAGGTCTTTTTTTCAAACTTGTGCCCATTCAAATGACAAAAGAGGATATTTAAACGCCTAAAACGGATTGAAAAAATTATTTATAACTGACTGAGAGGTATTTATACTGAATTACAATTAGGGGCGCAATAATGGAACGATGTGCAACTATATTATAGCGCCGGAGCGGAAACGATGCCCATTTTAAGTGTTTCCTCCGTGTATTGTTCGACCAATAAAGTTTGTAGTTTACCTTTTACCATCAGCTTTACATGATTTGGGAACAATACCCAAAAAGCGGTCGTTTCAGCGAGATCATTTTTCCAACCTTTACTTTTAGGGGAAAAATTCAGTGAGGTCGTCTTTCTAACCTTTACATTTTGGGGAAAAGTCTTTAATTAATGGAGGTGAACCGAAAATGACTTTTTCAGCTGATTCTCCAAAATTTTACTTAGGCTTCACAAAATATCACAAGCGGACCATTAACTGCTTTTGCATCAACTGCTATTTAACAATTGGTAATTGTCTGAAAAACAGTACTACGAAGAGCAGAAAAAATTGTCACTTTTTCTCTTTTCAGAACAATGATTTTTTACAAAGGGTTGATCACCATTCAAAAAAGCACCTTTCCATTCAGTTCTATACAAAAGCAAGTAGCACAGAGTGTTTCGACCATAGTTTAGAAAACTACGATTTAGACAGTTTTTTTTCCAAATTGGCGGTTTTTCTACTTGGTGTGATAAAAAGATCTGACGTTTAAGTTTAGTTTAGGATTGTTAGACAGTATAGGCAAATTGAACAAAGATTTTCTTGAAAAATTATTAGAATAAATTTTTAAAAAATTTGAAACAAAGCTAAAAATTTCCAAAAACTAGTTTTGCTTGCTTTGAATTAGGTTTTAAGGTCTTGAATTAGACAGAATTGCAGATTTCAGCTGTTGTAAGCCTGCTCCCTTGTATTATTTGCCCGAATTAAGGCAAAAAATCAAAGTTTCAAACCGGTTTTTCTCGACACTAGAAAAAAATTTCAA